GGGGGGGGGGCCCCTACCCCACACATTTGTTTTATTCCCCTTGCCATGCTGATAGTAACCTCTTCTCTCCAGTTCACGGTTTTGTTGCTGCTATCCCCCCCTCTCTTTATTTCGCGGTTGGGGGCCCCCCCCCTCCCGCGCCCTCACCTTGTGGGCCCTAGTTACAAGGCAAGCTGCCCAGGCAGCTGACGTTTACTTTGCTGCTGCTGCTGCTCCTACTGATCCTTTTGCTGCTGCTACTGCTGCTGCTACTGTTGCTGTTGCTGCGGTTGCGGTTGCAGTTGCTGCGGTTGCTGCTCCTGGGGCGGCAACTGCTGCTACTGCTGCTGCTACTGCGGTGGCAGCAACTGCAGCTGCAGCTTAAGCTGCTGCGGCATATACTGCCGCCGCGGCTAAGGCTGCTGCAGCAGTGGCTAGTGCAGCAGCATCTGCTGCTGCTGCACCTAATCCCCGTATTCCTGCTGCTGCACCATCATCATCAGCAAGCTACAGCAGCAAATGGGGGCCCCTCCTACCAATGGGCTATCTACGGGTTCCCGTCCCCAGCAGCAGCAGCAGCAGCAGCAGCAGCAGACTCTCTGCTCTTATGCAGCAGATAGGCCATACACCTCACAACAACATGGAAATCAACAACTATCAGCAGCAGCAGCAGCAACAGCAGCAGCAGCAGCAGGACCAATACCACAACAACAACGACAAGCAAGAACAATAACAGCAGCAGGAGCAGCAGGAGCACCAGCAGCAGCAGCAGCAACAACAGGACGATCGACGAAGCAAGATGAAGCGCAAATAATAAGTTCATCGTCACCTTTGTCAACAGCAGCAGAAGCAGCAATTACTTTCCCCGATGCAGCAGCAGCAGCAGCAGGAACAGGAGCAGCAACAACAGCAGCATCAAGAGGAAGCGGAGAAGATGATGGTTGTATAATATATACATGCACATACAACAGCAGCAGCAGCAGCAACAACAACAACAACAACAACGACGACGATAATAATGATAAAAAGAAGAATAATAAAGAGAATAAAAAGAATAAAAAAGAAAAGAAGAGAATATTATTATTTAATTTATATACAATTATACCCAAAGAATTGCTGCTGCTGCTGTATATGACGAGCGCACTGCTCACCGGCTGCGTCTATTTTGGCTTCCACTCGCTGCGTCGAATGATGTTAATTTCGGGTGCGTATTCTTGGCTGTGTAAGGAATCTGGAACGAGTGTAGCAGGAGCTGCGGCTGCATCTGGAGCAGCAGCAGCAGCAGCAGCAGCAGCAGCAGCAGGAGCAGCAGATACTGCAACAAATACAGCAAATTATGAAGGAAATATACTAGATATACCTAATAATACCTTAAAAGATAGAGGAAGAATAGGGGAATCAGAATTACTACTTTGCGATGAACAAGATGCTGCTGTATCTGTTTTATTTACTGTAGCAATGGTATCCCATTCATTAATGTCTGCTGCAGCAGGAGCATTATTAGATAGTGTTGGACCTAAAAAAACAGCTATATTAGGACAATGTCTAAATATATTAGGTTGGTTATTATTATCATTATCTGGTCCTTTTTTTCCTTCTTATATACCTGCATTTATATTTATAGGTCTAGGTACAGATACATGTTATCTTCCTCTATTAAAAATTGTTATGTTATTCGATAAAAAAAAAGGAACTGTATTCTCCCTATTAGGTACTGCATGCACTGCTTCTTTTGCTGTCCCTTTTGTATTGGAGACACTATGGGGACTAAACCCTAATTGGGGGTTTAGTACATTATGCGGGGTTTATATACTTATAGGCCCTGGTGTATGTATTATTATTGCCTTATTATTATTACCTTGGCATAGTCATGAACAGGCACTGCAGCAACAGCAGCAGCAGCAGCAGCAGCAGACTCCAGCTATACAACCTGCTGCAGATATGGATAAAGCTGCAGCAGCAGCGGCAGCAGGTGTTCTTGTTCTTGATGTACCAACAGCAGATGATGGGGCAGAGATTATTCCCCTTAGTAAACAGCAGCAACAGCAGCAGCAAGTGCAGCAACAGCAGCAACAACAGCAACGACAGCAACAACAACAGCAACAGCAACAGCAGCAGCAACCTTGTCCTAGTCCTAGTACAAGCGGCAGCAGCTTACCTCTTTTCTTGCCGCAGCAGCAAGAAGCTGCTGCAGACAGCAGCACGAGTTTATCCGAGGGGGGAGGTGTTGACTCCCCTACTACCTGCACTACTGCATTAGCAGTACCTGCAGCAGATTATGACCCTACTAATGCAGCAGCAGCAGCAGCAGCAGCAGCAGCAACTGCAGCAACTGCAGCAGCAGCAGCAGCAGGGCAACCGAGAGTATCTTTAGCTTTAAGACGCAGATGTTTATTTATGTGGCAAAAATGTGTTCCTTTCTGCAGCAAAAACAGCAACAGCAGCAGCAGCAGCACCAAACCAACAACAGCAGCAGCAACAGCAGCAACAGCAGCAACCCCAACGAACCCTAATAAGAAGA